AAACAAAAAGGAATTTTGTAATGGTTTAATGGAAACTATAAGAATTTCTGTGATGGTTTCTATTGTTTTTTTCAGCAGGGTAATGATACCCATACTGTGCGGCACATTATTGGCAATATTGAGATGAAGCTTGACTTTGCAAATTTAAAATCGCAAATCAAATCGCAATCGCAATATCTGTAAAAAAAATCGCAATTTGATATTTTCCCCCAAATCGCACAGCCCTAATTGGGTGTTCTGCAAAGAGAGTTGGAGGTAAATAATACTGATATTCTGGTCTATAACTCCTCCACAAACTTCCCTCTGCCCTGTATCTTGGTCTCTCATTGGCTGTAGGTCATCGCCGGTGTAGTTTTCAGTCAGAAATCATTGCACACAGCGTAATTGTGAATCGCCGACAGCTCCAGATATTTAGCATGCCAAATATTTTGCGGGTGTCGAGAGTTTCCCTCAGATCGCGTCTTTGATAATTCACACCACGTGATTGTTACTTGTGTGAACGAGCACCGATTTGCCTCCGATTTCGGCCATTTGTCAGCGATTTCGCAAAACCTGTCGGCGAGTGAAAAATCGGGCTAAAATCATGCAGTGTGAACTCGGCATTAGGGAAGCCCTGTATGATTAGACTCGATGTCCACCAGACTCCAATCAGATGTAGTTTTTAGAGATTTATAGATATAGCTCTTTACTAGGGTGACTGGCATACATTCATCAAATAAATTTTAAGTCAAGTTACCTTTATTTATATAGCGCTTTTAACAATACAGATTGTGTCAAAGAAACTTTACAGTATTAAATAGGAAAATAGTGTGTCAATAATGCAAAATGACAATAGTAAACACTCAATTTTCAGTTACATAAAATTACCATAGTCCTTAAAAACGCTGAGATAGAATTGTTAGTAATAGCAGGTGATTTGAAGTTTCGAAAGCGTTGCTTTGATGTCTGTAGCAGTGGTGCTTTAAAGGGGATGAATTTCTCAGAGTGGGTTTTACCCCCCTAACAGCCTGACAGTTTTAGCAGCTATAGACTGTCAGCATCCCATTAAATCCTTCTGTGATAAGTTGCATCTCCCTTTTTGAAGTGGAATTTAAAAATCTAGCTGTTGGACATTTAGGATGTTTGACCATCCTGACTCATCCCTAGAGGTCATGAGTTTTTTTTTTTTTTTTTGCACACAACTTTAACACAATAACAATCAAACAACACTCCTTCATGGGTACATGCATAAATATTTTTCCCAAAGTAAAACTTAAAAAGTAAAAGAAATTTCAGTCTGGTCAACTGGTTACGATATAAGCAAATATTTGTAAGCATGTATCATGAGTTTGTTTTTTGTTCAGTGTCGGGAGGTAGAGGCAGAGGTCGGGCTCCGGTTACCAGCAGGTTTACAGCACAAGGGATGGGGTGAGTATCAGTCAAATTATATTTTAACCTAGAATATTCTCATTATCATACAGCAGCCACCTGAAATCCTGTCTTACACTCTGTGTATCCTCCTGCAGAACCTTTAACCCTGCAGACTACACCGCAAACAGCGGGTCATCAAATTCACACACTGATGTCTGGGAGACGGAGGCCAATGACACTACAGATGGGACAGGTAAGAGACCTCTATTGCACAGAACTTATTTCCCAATCCTTAGGCCCACTCTCATCTCTCTTTCCCTCTTTGACACGGTCTGTTCAGTGGCATGGCAGAACACTTCGGACGAGTGGGCAGCTGAAGACTGGAGTGAAGATGTGAGTGTGAGTCATGCGCTATAATTAACCTCCTGTGAATTATGGGATTTACAGAGCTTGAAATTAATAAGCCTGAAAAGACATGGTACAGTGCACAGCATAAATGAGTACACCCCCTCTGAAACTTAACAAATTCAGCAATTACTCTTTGCTTAGAAGACATGTTATGGTTTTTTAGAGATATAATATTCCAGCAAGTCTGCTTGATCAGTTACCAAAGAAGAATGTTAAAATTATTCAAGAAAATACAATTTTCTTATCAAAGTGATAAAATGATGTGTTGCAAAAATGAGTACACCCTCCTGAAAGTTACTAAAAAAAAAAAAATTCTGGTTTAAGGTTAAGGCAAGTATTGATCAACAGGTAAGTATGTTGAACCAAAACTGTTAAAGGTAAGTCATTTCTTGATAATTACGTGTTATATGGGCCACTGAATCATACTCTGACTTAATGCTGACAACAATGAAACCACTTGAGAGAGAACTGTCAGGAGATTTATTTCTTCGCATAAAAGAGGACAATGGTACAAGAGGAATACCAAATTATTGTTTTAAGTGTGAAAATATAGCCAAAGTAACA